GCCGCGCGGGGGGGGGGGGCTCTGCAACACCTGGTTGCTTCTTGCTCCTCGTGGCCTGACTAAGAGCTGCTGGGAGCAGTGGGCGGGGCTTGTTGCATGTGCCCGCCCCCTGGGCTCTTTACTGCCGGAGCTCCGCACCTGTGCTACCTATCTGAAGAAGTGAGCCGTGACTCCCCGAAAGCTCCTCCCCTGCCACACATTTTGTTAAGTCTTTAAGGCGCGGCTGGACTCTTGGCTCTTTTCCGCCGCTGCAGACAGACTGACCCGGCCACCCATCCCGATCTGTCTTCTAGAAAACGTTAGAGAAGATCCACGGAGCGTTGCGGACGGAGTACCAGTGCCGCAGATGCATGATAATCACGCGCTTCGACGTCACAATTGAGTCGTTCCACTGGTCCGAGAGAGCAAAGGTGAGCAATCGGGTGGGTCAGCAGCAGTGTTCCCTCTAAGCCAGGGGTGTCAATAGGGCCCGATCCCAAGAAGCCCACGCAGAGAAAAGTCTTTCTCAACACCCACTAGCTGAGATCCTTTAAGGCAGGGGCGTCAAACATGCGGCCCGGGGGCCGGATCAGGCCCACAGTGGAACTGGCCATTTCCTGCTTCCAGTTCCGCTGCTGCTGCTGCATCATAGCTTTGCTTCGCCAGACTCTCTCAATCGCTCAGCCATTTCACGTTTTAAGCTGGGTTGTAGACTCAGAACTCTGAGCATGAGATTTCTGTGGGGAACGCCAATAAATCAAAAGTAGGTTTGCAGCTTACAGAGCTAATGTTTTAAGCATGTTTTTATTTTAAGTAAAAAAAAGAAAACACCTTTGTGTTTGTGTCCTTTATCAAATTTATATCTTCGCTACCTGGCATTACATTTTATGACACGCATGGCCCAGCCCGACGAGGTCTCGTTTATGTCAAGATCCGGCCCTCATAACAAATGAGTTTGACACCCTTGCTCTAAGCTGAATGAGTGTGAGGTAGTTCACAGATTTTTAGCCTGCAGTTCACAGATTTTTAGCCTCCAGCTCACAGATTTTTGTCTTAGCTCAGGAAGGAGGGTTCCCCATGCAACAAATTGATGCAGCAGCCAAATCGCTCACTCACAACTTTAATGCCGATGGCTCACAAAGTAGAATTTTTGCTCACAAGACTCCACAGCTTAGAGGGAGCGTTGGTCAGCAGTCAGGGCGGCTTGCTGCCCCCCCTCCCGACTAGAAATGTTGGAATCGCCAGTTCAGCCATCTCCTCCATTCAAGTCCTTTCAGCCTGCTTTTATCTCACAAAAGTGGTATCTGGAACGAGTCACTTGCCTGTTTTCTTCCATCTCTCGCGTCCGCTAGGATCGCGGCGCGGCCATGTCGAAGGCCTTCCGACCCCTGCGGCAGTCCTTGCAGAGGGAGTCTCAGATCAGCCTCGCACATCTGCTGGCAGCCAGAGACGACCTCTCGTGCATCACCAAGACCAGCAGCGGGGCCTCCCGGGACAAGACCAGTTGCGCCATCAACAAGGTAAGGGCCCAGGAGAAAATCTGGGACCCCAGATAATAGTGCTGGGTTGGGGACAGCCATATATTTGCAGCTGCATACGTGCAGTGCTTTTGCAGAAGCACAGAATTGCCCTGCAGAGCAATGGATGACTTAGGCGAATGAGTTTATCCCACCGGAGTCACTGGCCAATATGACCTGAGCCTGTCTTTAGGGGCTCTTTCGCTTGGAGAAACGACGACTGAGGGGTGACACGATCGAGGTCTATACGATTACGCAAGGGATAGAGCAGGTTGAGAAAGAAGTCCTTTTCTCCCTTTCTCACAATACAAGAACTCGTGGGCACTTAATTAAATTGCTGAGCAGTTGGGCTAGAACGGATAAAAGGAAGGACTTCTTCACCCAAAGAGTGATTAACACATGGAATTAACTGCTACAGGAAGTGGTGGCGGCTACAAGCATGGATATGGAGCTGAGGTCCATCAGTGGCTATTAGCCATAAGTTGTAGATAGGAACTCTGGGGCAAGTGATGCTCTGTATTCTTGGTGCTTGGGGGGGCAACAGTGGGAGGGCTTCTAGTGTCCTGGCCCCACTGCTGGACCTCCTGATGGCCCCTGGTATTTCTGGCCACTGTGTGACACAGAGAGCTGGACCGGATGGGCCTGATCCAGCATTGGCTTCTCTTATGTTCTTATGTCCGGGGCAAGGGATGCTCTGTATTCTTGGTGCTTGCGGGGGGGGGGGACAGTGGGAGGGCTTCCGATGTCCTGGCCCCACTGCTGGACCTCCTGATGGCCCCTGGTATTTCTGGCCACTGTGTGACACAGAGTGCTGGACCGGATGGGCCATTGGCCTGATCCAACATTGGTTTCTCTTATGTTCTTATGTTCTGTCTCTTGCCACCCACCCAATTCCTCTCTCTGATTACCCTTTGCTGATTTCCCCAGAATCAAGGGTGGTAAAATACCGTGGGCAAGCCCCGCTGGGGAAGATTTTGAAATGCCCCGGTAGCATTTGAGCAGGTCGCTGGCGTAGCACTTCCTGTCTGCTCCCCGTTGCCCCCTTGTGGCTGCCTCTGAAATAATGCCTCCCTTCCCCACAACAGGTGCTGATGACCGGCAGCGTCCCGGACCGGGGTGGGCGTCCAAACGAGATCGAGCCCCCTATGCCCGTATGGGAGAAAAGGCGAGAGGGGGGAGGAGATGGCGGCGGCCACCAGCGCTGGGGCAAAAGGGGGAAGAAGAAGAAAAAATAAAAACTGGGATTGTAAGCCCTCTTCCAAGTGGCGCACGCTCAAGGCTATGTCTGATTAATTGTGGGGGTGGGGCTGCAGGAACGGGGGTGGTGGGTGGCTGTGCCTTGCCTCCCATCAGGGTTCATTGGATGAGCAGATGGCTGCAAGGCATGACCGGAATCCGTGGCCGCACAGTTTCCTTTTCTGCAGCGGGGGGTGGGTGGGTTTGAGGATGCCATTTCAGTATACCTTTGAGCTGGAAGCGAGTCTCCTTATGATATGACGTGACCAATGTTCCCTCTAACCTAAGTTAGTGTGAGCTAGCTCACAGTTTTTTAGCCTCCGGCTCACACATTTTTGTCTCAGCTCAGGAAGGAGGGCTCCAGAGCAGTGTTTCCTCTAAGCTAAGTTAGTGTGAGCCAGCTCACAGTTTTTTAGCCTCCGGTTCACACATTTTTGTCTCCGCTCAGGAAGGAGGGCCCCAGAGCAGATTAATTTATGCAGCAGCCAAATCACTCACTCACGACTTTAATGCCAGCAGCTCACAAAAGTAGAATTTATGCTCACAAGACTCCACAGCTTAGAGGGAACGCTGGTCACGTGACAGCAGACGCCTGCCGACCTTAGGGAGGGATGAGTGTCTGGAACCGAAGTAGATTAGAAGAAGAAGAAGAAGAGATTGGATTTATACCCCGCCCTTCCCTGACAATCTCCTTTCCCTCCCCCTCCCCACAACAGACACCCTGTGAGCAGTGTTCCCTCTAAGCTGAGTTGGTGTGAGCTAGCTCACAGTTTTTTAGCCTCCGGCTCACACATTTTTGTCTTCGCTCAGGAAGGAGGGCTCCAGAGCAAACTACCGTATTTTTTGGACCATAAGACTCACTTTTTCTTCCAAAAAAAGTGGGAGGAAAAGTGAGTGCGTCTTATGGACCGAAGGTTTAGAATATTTTTTTCCCTGTTTTCCTCCTTTAAAAACTAGGTGCGTCTTAAGGTCAGGTGCGTCTTATGGTCCGAAAAATACGGTAATTTATGCAAGAGCCAAATCGCTTGCTCACAACTTTCATGCCAGCAGCTCACAAAGTAGAATTTTTGCTCACAAGACTGCAACTTAGAGGGAACTTTGCCTGTGAGGTAGGCGGGGCTGAGAGAGCTCTGACAGAAACTGCTCTTTCTCAAGAACTGCTCTGATAGAACTATGGCTTACCCAAGGTCATCCAGCAGGTACAAGTGAAGGAGTGGGGAATCAAACCCGGTTCTCCCAGATTAGAGTCCACGCACTTAACCACTACACCAAACTGGCTCTCGATTACTTGCAGGGCAAGAAGGAGGAGTAGAGATTGGATTTATACCCCACCCTTCACTACCTGAGGGAGTCTCAGAGCGGAGGCAGGTGGGGCTGAGAGAGCTCTCACGAGGACTGTTCCTGAGAGAGCAGCTCTGAGAGAACTTGTGACTGACGCAAGGGCACCCAGCTAGCTGCATGCAGAGGAGTGGGGAATCAAATCCAGTTCTCCCAGATTAGAGTCCGCCCTCCTAACCACTACTCCAAACTGGTTCTCCAAGGGTGGTGGGTTGATTCTCACGGATTTCGGTGTTTTGTGAACTCTTAGTGGAAGATTTACGAACATGAAATTGAGTACACTTCAGAGGACGGCAGAAGACAGGCAGGCCTGGCGTGATCTGGTCCATGGGGTCGTAACCGGGATGCAAATGCATCAGCCTATGAATGGAGATAGCGGTGGGAGAGCAAGTAAATTATTCTCAGAACTTCCATACCACTTCTGTTCTCTCTTCTCCACCTGCCGAACCATCTGCTGTTTCTGTGCAAGGTATTTCCCTTTGGCCACCCACTTTCCACACTGACATTTGGATGTGGAGGTTGGAGCCCCTGCCGCTCCTACTCTTTAACTACCTCCAGAACAAGGAGAGGTCTCTCTGGCCCCGCGCAGTCGCCCGAGGCTCATTCTAGTCTGCCACAGGCAGTAGCCAGCCCTGTCCCTACTTGGGAGCAGCTTTATTACAACAACAGAGGCGGCTCGAGCAAGTGAGCCCAGTTGCATTTCACACCATGAACAAGGGGGAAACAGCACGGAGGCTAGGACGTGCCCTTCAATAAATAGTCCCTTTTTAAATTCCGTTAGTTCGAGTGCTCGAATTTCCGAGCTGCCGGTTGTCCTCTTCTTCTTCGGGGCTGCTAGGCCTCGGACGCACGCGGGAGCTGTAGGCGGTCCATCCCTTCCAGGAGGAGAGTGACAGAGGGCTCGCTCTGGGTGGCCTGCACCGTGCTCAGAAGCCGCCTGTTCTCCGCCTCCAGCTCCAAGCTGCGGCGTTGGAGTTTCTGGTTGGCAAGCAGCAGCCTGTTCCGTTCCTGTAAAGCAAGGCGACAACGCAAGTGGCTCGGGGAGGCGGAGCTAACGAAGCAAAGCACCGGGACCTTACAGCAGGGTCCCAGCCAGGAGTGAGCAGGAGTAGCCTCTAGCACAGGGGTCCCCAAGCAAGGCTTCTGATTGGCCACTGGAGAGATTGGATTGGCTGTGCAGGTTTTTACAAACGTGGCTTCGGTGGCGGCTGCCACTGCAGCACAAGGACCTTCGCTGTGAGACTGAAGGTAAGCTGCGGCGGCCATTTTGCGGCGGGCTCCACCTCCTGCGGCAGCGCCCGCAACCCTGTGTCAGAACTCCAAAAGTGCCCCTGGGCTCAAAAAAGGTTCGGGACCCCTGCGACTAGCAGCTTTGAGCCAAGCCTCCCCTTAGGCTGGCACCCGTTTCCCTGGCTGTTCCACCCTCGTCCCGGAAGGCACAGATTCCACTCTTTGCCCGGAGACAGCCTGCTCTAAGGAAACCTTGCAAAGGGCTGCAGTTGTCCTTGGGGTTCTCCTCCTCTCCCCCTCCGTTGCAGAAGCGGCTCGTAATGATTTCTTGTTTTGGTGCGTGTGTTTCTTTAAATGTTTAGTGTGACTGCAGTAGTGTAAGGAGAGGGATGGAGGGAGATAAGTGTGATGTGATTGGCTGATGAGGAGGAGAGATGTCTATGAGGTGATTCTGTGTTCTGGAAGAGATGAGTGTGGAGAGTTTTTGTGAGAGTCTGTGTGACAGAGGAAGCAGTTGGAGCTTAGTTTAGCCTGTGTGGCTATATGAGCAAGAGAGTTCAGCCTGTGTGGCTATATGAGCAAGAGAGTTCAGCCTGTGTGGCTATATGAGCAAGAGAGTTCAGCCTGTGTGGCTATATGAGCAAGAGAGTTCAGCCTGTGTGGCTATATGAGCAAGAGAGTTCAGCCTGTGTGGCTATATGAGCAAGAGAGTTCAGCCTGTGTGGCTATATGAGCAAGAGAGTTCAGCCTGTGTGGCTATATGAGCAAGAGAGTTCAGCCTGTGTGGCTATATGAGCAAGAGAGTTCAGCCTGTGTGGCTATATGAGCAAGAGAGTTCAGCCTGTGTGGCTATATGAGCAAGAGAGTTCAGCCTGTGTGGCTATATGAGCAAGAGAGTTCAGCCTGTGTGGCTATATGAGCAAGAGAGTTCAGCCTGTGTGGCTATATGAGCAAGAGAGTTCAGCCTGTGTGGCTATATGAGCAAGAGAGTTCAGCCTGTGTGGCTATATGAGCAAGAGAGTTCAGCCTGTGTGGCTATATGAGCAAGAGAGTTCAGCCTGTGTGGCTATATGAGCAAGAGAGTTCAGCCTGTGTGGCTTTATATATGAGAGAGAGTTTAGACTGAGTGTCTAAACCTATCAGAGATGAGTTTTGGTGTATGAGAGACTGTGTGTGACGCCAGGTTTTGTCAGTTCTATATTCTTTCTTCAACAACAGTTCAAAAATACCCAGGAACCTATTTCGTTCTTTTTAAAATAAATCATTAGTTGTTTAAACCTATCCCAGCAATCAGAACAGTCCTTCCCCAGGGCCACATAGCCCTCTGAAGCGCCCAGACACTGGGTCACTCTACCAAAATAGAGAGATTTGGAATTTTTAATTCCTGGTGGCGGCAGAAATCTACCAAGTTTTAGGTACACAGAGTGTCGTTTAAAGGAGAAACAGTGTCCCCAATAAGCGAGTACACCACACGGCTCTTATTCCACAAAGCTGAAGAGAACACTGAGAAGCAGCGGGGCTCAGACCAGAGGATAGCCTAAAAATGGGTCGTTTTGAAAACTGGAGAGGGAATCCTCCTCAACTTTCGGTCAAAAATGTACTGCGGCATCCCCAGAGCCGTGCCACGCAAGGTGAGGCGATTCTTGTTTTACTGGAGATGTCGAGTTGGATCCTGCGGGCCTGATCCGCTAACGGGGGCCCTTGCCCCTGGGAGAAGGCCTTTGGAACAGGCTCCTCCACTGAAAGAAAGCACCTCTCCTAGGGGAAGAAAGGCCTAGCACCACTGTTCCCTCTAAGCTGAGTTAGTGTGAGCTAGCTCACTGTTTTTTAGCCTCCAGCTCACACATTTTTGTCTTGGCTCAGGACGGATGGCTCCAGAGCAAACTAATTTATGCAGCAGCCAAACTACTTGCTCACAACTTTATTGCCAGTAGCTCACAAAGTAGAATTTTTGCTCACAGGGCTCCACAGCTTAGAGGGAACATTGCCTAGCACCCAACCTGAATATCTGAATTTTTAAAATCCCCCGACCTTGTAATTCGGCGACTTTACAAACATCGTTTCGGCCGAAGGAGCAGGGGGACAGGATATTACATTACATGTTTAACTGAAACTTCGTCGGCCTTTTTCTCCGGTCTCGGATGCCTGCCTACTTCCTTTGGAGATGACAAGAACCGGGCGGGCAGGAGGCCAAATTCCCTTCCTTCCGAGGTCTTTGAGCCAAAATGGGAGTTTGCAGAGGGACCGGAAGGAGGGGCAGCCGATTTGCTAACAGAGTTAAGAGGAATTCTCTGGATTCCTCTTAAACTCCTCCCTGAAATCCAACAATCCCATTTGATTTCCTCTTCTTTTCTTTTTAGGAATTTGGTGTCAGGTTCGAATTCACTCTCATTTTCATCACAGAGAAATTTGGGGAGGGGGGATTGCAGCATTTCAGGATGCTTTGTAGATGCTTAAAGGCCAGTAGTGCTTTCCCCAGCCTTCCTATCTTCCTGCAAGAGCGCCACCCTTTTGGCATATAATATAAAAACAACCGCAAGGGCTACAGTTAACGGATGGGTGTATTGATTTCTCAAGAGAAACCCCTCTTTTAAAAATAGGGGGGGAGGAAGAAGAAGAGGAGGAGGAGATTGGATTTATACCCTGCCCTTCACTCGGAGTCTCCGAGCGGCTTACAAACTCCTTTCCCCTCCCCACCACAGTCACCCTGTGAGGTCGGTGGGGCTGAGAGAGCTCTTTCCAGAGTTGGGCGAGAACAACTCTGACGGAACGATGGCTTGCCCAAGGTCATCCAGCAGCTGCAAGCGGAGGAGTGGGGAATCAAACCCAGTTCTCCTAGATTAGAGTCCGCACACTTAAACCGCGACACCAAACTGGCTGGCCAAAAAGAGATTAAGAGGAATCGACAGCTACATCTATCACAAGTCTTTGGGAAACAGAAATGCCAAAATTCTCGCCACGTATGACCCAAGCAGCCAAGGGCAAGCTTGGCATGTTTTCGCCCAGGTAGATGCTTTTGGCGGTCGAGACGAATGCTTCCTGGGACACGGCATCCTTCGAATAACCACGAAGTAGCCGTGCCAGGTCTACCAAGCTGCCCGCTCTTTCGCCAGGGCCAATAATCCTCATGCCAAACACCAGGCCGGGATCTCACCTCTTCCAGCGCATTCAAATGCTCCAGGAGCTGCCTCTGCACCTTGCCGGGGGTCCCGGCTTCACCGTGGGGCTCCAGCTGCTGGTTCTCTGTTTGGGTGCAGGCGTGTTTCATCGGCTGGCTGCCCGGGGCGCTTGCGGACAGGGTTCGGTGACTCTTGTTCCGCGCTCTTCCCGGGGGGAAGGGAAACGCTTCTTCCTCGGACCCTGCCGTGATGGAGAAGGGTGGTTTAAAACCTTAAACACACACGAAACGACCTGGTACGGAATCAAAGCCGGGATTGGTCTGCCCAGATTGGCAGCGGCTTTTCAGGGTCTCAGGCAGGGGTCTTTCCCATCTAGAATCACAGAGTTGAAAGGGACCTCCAGGATCAACTAGTCCAGCCCCCCTGCACAATGCAGGACATCCACAAATACCTTTCCCCCCCCACACACACACCCAGTGACCCCTGCTCCATGCCTAGAAGAGGGATCCCTGACCAAACTGGCCTGGAGAAAAATGGCTCCCTGACCCCAAAGTGGAGATTAGCATTTCCCTGGGTGTGCAAGAAAGGGCCACGAGAAGCAAGCACTGATGCAACCCTTCCTGCCCTCCCTTCTCGTGATCTGCCTAAATTCACAGAAACAGAATCGCTGTCAGATGGCCTTCTAGCCTTTGCTGGAAAACCTCCAAAGAATGAGAGCCCGCCACCTCCCGAGGAAGCCTGTTCCGCTGAGGAACTGCTCGAACAGTCAGGGAGTTCTTCCTAACGTTTGGCCGAAAACTCTTTTGATTTAATTTCTGGGGCAACAGAAAACAACTCCATGCCATCCTCTATATGTCCTTTAACTGGAGATGCTGGGGATCGAACCTGGGGCCTTCCGCATGCCAAGCAGAGGCTCTACCACTGAGCCACAGTCCTTCGTTACGGCTCTCCAGGGTCTCAGGCGGAGGTCTTTCCCATCACCTCCTGCCTGATCCTTTTAAACTGGAGATGCCAGGGATTGAAACCTGGGCCCTTCTGCCTGCCAAGCAGAGGCTCTGCCACTGAGCCACAGCCCCTCTTTACGGCTCTCCAGAGTCTCAAGCGGAGGTCTTTCACAATACCTACTGCCTGATCCTTTTAAACGAGATGCTGGGGATCGAACCCAGGGCCTTCTGCATGCCAAGCAGATGCTCTACCACTGAGCCACAGCCCTTCTTTACGGCTCTCCAGGGTCTCAGGCGGAGGTCTTTCACAATACCTTCTGCCTGGTCTTTTTAACTGGAGATGCCGGGGACTGAACCTGGGACCTTCTGCATGCCAAGCAGAGGCTCTACCACTGAGCCACAGCTCCACTTCATGGCCCTCCAGGTTCTCAGGCAAAGAGGTATTTCCCATCCCCTCCTGCCTGGTCCTCTTTAACTGGAGATGCCGGGGATTGAACCTGGGACCTTCTGCATGCCGAGCAGAGGCTCTGCCACTGAGCCACAGCCCCACTTCATGGCTCTCCAGGGTCTCAGGCAGAGGTCTTTTCCATCACCTCCTGCCTGGTCCTTTTCACTGGAGATGCCAGGGATTGAACCTGGGACCTCCTGCATGCGAAGCAAACGCTCTT